CTTGCGTGAAATTATTCACACGTGGCGGCTAGCGATTGGCTTGCTAGCTGTATAAAAAGCTTGAGTGGTTTCCGCCCAAGTTGGAGATCTCCGAGAATCTCAGGAGGATCCTGAGAACCCCGATTCCGAGAATTCCGGGAGAAATCCGAGAGAATTACGGCAAGGAGTCCATGATTACCTCGCGGACTTCTATGTAAATCTCGGACCAACTGGTAGCCTAATCAACTACTAAGAGCCTCTCCCCGTCGCCATTCGCAATCCTTGACGTATCCCTCTCCCTGCGCGCAAAAGGACCCACGGAGCCTAGCAAACTTCGTGTGAGTGAATTGTGAGTGAACAAAAGGACCCACGGAACCTCAACAACTTCGTGGGAGAGACCCGAGCTTGTTGTAGTCCTCAAACGAGGATTTAATCGGAGCTGTGCCTGGGAAACTGTCCAGCCTACACCGCGACCATCTTCGGTGTAAGTAAACAATCTTTAAATCAACCATTAAGCGTCTGTGCCTAATTCTAGCGTGTTGCCTGTTCTCGCCGATCCAGCGTGCCCGGGCTGCTGGCCACAGCCCGCGCAGAGCGAAAGAGGGCCCGGATTGCTCCCGGCCTGCACATGGCGACATGAATGGGATCGGGAGTCGGCCCGCACACCCCTTAGGCAGGGGGCTGGAATCGATGATCTCCTGAGGTCCCTTCTGTCGGGACCCAGGGCAGCCGGCCAGCAGCTCTCCCTGACTCCCACCCGGGCAGATAAGGGTCCGGGGCCTTAGAAGGCCGTCGTGCGGGTACTTGTGACACTTGGAGTGGAATTAATTAGGCGGACACTTATCGGTTGCAAAGCAAGATTATTTACTCACGCCGTCAAGGTGGTGAAAGACGGAGGTCAAAGATATTTGGTTAGTTATAGCTTAAAGTTCATAGGTCATAGGTCGGTCTGCATAAGAGTTTGGTGGTCGCGCAGAGAAATGGTCGGGCCGGCAGGTCGTCGATTTACGTCTGAGAATTGGGTCGAGACGGGGGAAACTGACAAGTGATCAATTTGTCAGTTACTCTCACGCATACGTTCAGAGGTTTTTCAGGTGTGTGCATGGAAGTCTCCCACTTCACGGAAGTGAAGACGGGTTTTATTTGTATAATAGCCAATTGCTTTTCGCCACGTCATAAATGTAATTAGAATCGCCAGTTATCTAGCGGTCTTTGCTAGGGTGTTATCATAGGGTTACTCCTTGTTTTCTTTGACCAATTATACTGATTTATGTACAGCACAGAAGGCTAAGTTCTATCTCTGTTAGTGGCGCAGCAATAAATTTCTTTTTGACATGTGCAGCAAAAAGGCGGTTACTGGCAAAAAGTTTTGTTAACCCTTAGTTAACCTAGTGCAAAATAAAACTGTTTTGAATGGTTTTACTTGCTTGTGACATGGGCACTACTTAATTTGGTTGTGACACCTTCCAGCCCTAATCTCTATGAAATCTATGAAATAGGAATCCAAGTAGTGAAAATGTCATGTCTAGAGCAAAAAGACATTACTAATGAGAAAAGTTAGTCATTGCTCTATTTAGACAAGGAAGACTCCAAAAGAATGAAAAAGGAAAAATCATTATTGCAGAATAAACTAATGTCTTTCAGGTTTAGGTTCAGGATAGCTCTGCCCTTAAAAAAATCAAAAAAAAAAAATCAGACATTCACAATAATTTACAAAACAAGTTTCAGTTATTATATTGTAATTGCTCATCGTTATTCAGATTTTTCCAGATGTCCAAACAGTAAACATCATCAGCTAAGGAGAAAAAACTGTTTCACTAATATCTAAATTCCTTAAACAGTATTTTATTACAAAAAAACTCACTGTGCTAGCAAAAAAAAGAGAAGAAAAGAAAAAGTTAAAGGCAATTTATACATTAGATTAAATTAATTATTGTCTTATTTACCTGAGTTGCTTGCCAAGTTCCTCTTTCACTTCGAATTACACATTTTAAATTATCTTCCAAATTCTAAAATAAAATTAAAAATTAACTACAATCTAATGTATGAGCAGATCAAAATAAGAACAATGAAGTTCTAAATAATAATGTTACCATAAAAGATGCATGCTCCTTTTAAACTGTGTATACTGTATGATAAAAATAAACAACGTATTTAATGTCACTTTAACAACAGTTATAGAACCCTGTGACAGGATCAGGGCCCGTGGTGACCATGACATCCCCTGGTGGTCACTTGACCTCTGTCTCTCACTCTGGCTCCTCAGGGTACCCTCCCTTTCTAATAGTCACAATTTGATATTATTTGTAAGGTTTCAGGAGGCTGCTACTAGGGCCCGAGTGAACCCAGTCTAGCTCTGCCCTGCTCCTCGGACACTACGCTACAGCCCTTCTGGCCCTATTAGCACACCAGGGCACCAGTTACCTCTTTCTATCCCTGTAGCCATGCTTATGCCTTGCAGATTTTATGTTGTCCACCAGGCTTTCCAGCCCACCTGTCAAACACTCCAATCAGCCTAACCCTGGCAAGACTTTCTTTTCTCTGGGCCCCTGGCCCTACTCCTTCCCTAGGCTTTGGCCCTCTTGGCTTAAAGCTGCTCTGGTCTCACCCTTCAGCCCTCTGGGCCCCTGGCTCCAGCACATGTTTTGTAACTCTATCCTAACCCTCAGCCTTCTGCATCCCTGACACCAGGCCAGACTGTTTCCATTGGCCTTGGCTCTCCCAGATTCACCCTGCAGATTCATGCTGTGGCTCTCCCAGCCCACAGCTCTCTGGGTCCCTATCCTCAGGCTAGGCTCCCTGTTACGGAGTGCCCTGCCAAGCACTCCTATGTGGCCTCCACACATCCCCCGCATAACCACATCCCATCCCAGTCCTCTGTTTAGCCTAATCAGATCAAAAACATAAACACAACACCAGTACAACTACCAAATGCATCTCTAGGGAGGCAAGGGCTAAATTCTGTGACTTTTAATATAAAAGGTATTTAGTATGCTTGCTAGAGGTAGGATCACTAATTTGTTATTTGTTCAGAAGTTGAAACCTTGCCTTATCTGTTTGAGTATTTTTGAACTGGAAAAGAACACTTTAAAGTGTCTCTGAAAAGAAGAACTCCACCACAATATTTAAAGCTACCAGATGGATTGGCTCTGGATTTAGAAGAAAGATTCTCCCTTGTTATGGGAACAAAAGACCTGGAAGCAGAGAAAGTTAAACTATATGGTTCCCTGGCTACCTGCTGGACATGAGTGCCTGGTAAAACCACACTGCTACTATTAAGATGACATTAGATTTTTGTTGTCACCCTGGGGAACTAAGGAAATTTGAAAGAAGGCATATATGAGTATTGTTCAAAACCAGTGTATCTGTGACAGCTCGTTAGTCTCTATATGGTCTTGTCTAATATAACATGTTCATATTATAAAAAAAGGCCATGTATACATATGTCTATTGAGCAAATGTCATGCTGAATACATCAGACCAGCGATTTCCTATCTCTGTGAATAGGATCTGGAAGCAAGATCCCCTTTCCTTATTAATGTGGTATTGTTTGTGAGCACCTGTACTATGCAGTACTGCAAGAGCAGGTTAAAAGGCTGCATTCTACTGTACTCTTTTAAAAATAATGTTCTTTATCATCCATTTTTATACAACTTAATACATTTATGTAATGCTATATATAACCTTGTACTGGACTTTTTCTTGAATTATTTTTTCTTCCAATCCCTCCAGTTTTAATTTTCTTTCTGCATAAGACATCTCAATATTATATAGCTCTTTATTCACTTTTCTTATTTGCTCTTCAGTTTTCTGGATGTTTTTGCGTATAGCCTGGATTTCTGACTGATACGCAATTTTTCTTTTTGAACTGTTAAAAAAAAGAGTCTTAAATTATCTGATAATTTTTTAATGTTTGTAAAACTAGATGAGCTAAAAGGAAAAATGTGTTAAACAGTACGACTTCAATGACACCGAGTAGCCATACAACTGACTGATAGATCAATGCCCTATGGATTCCATTCTTACTGAGACCTTGAGTAATGTAAAGCAATTATACTATGCTGGTAGACAAGAATAACTTTGGTATATGTAAACCTGAAAAAGATACTGGTTAGCTAGACCAACTGAAACTATTGCTGAAGACTACATCCAATCAAATAATATTAATAACCACCACCACCACCACTACCACTTCACTGACAGTCAAAGAAAAACCTGTTTTTAGCCCAATTGATTATGGTTTCTTGCTACATAAATGGGGACAATGGATAGCGTAAGTATTTTGTTTAGCACACTTCGCTTAACTACAAAGGACACATACACATAGGTGGAAATATACATAGACAATCTCTCATAGGAACCAAGCACCCCAAACACTCAAAATAGAGTCCTTTGGCCAGCAGCTTTTTTTCAGACTGCGCGCGCGCGTACACACACACACACACACACACACACACACACACGGACTGTCCTCATGCCCCATAACAAAGACAAGATGGTATCCTTCAATTTCCTTTGCCAACATAAAATCAAGGTGTAAGAGTGTGTAGCAGTGGGGAAAGAGGGCAGGTTTTAGAATATACATATGTATATGCCACCCTGACTCAGAAGCAATAACCTGTTAAGAATGTAGGAGGTTCCTAGAATCTATTTACATAAAAATTGCAGCCAAGTTTTGGAGAAGCAATATCAACGTCAATAGTTTATCCAAAAAGTAAAATCACACAAATGTATGGATTGAATTTCAAGTAATGTTGAAAATATTTCTGAAACAGGCTTTTCCAGGAAGTCATAGAGGCTACCCAAGGACCTAACAGAATGTGTCCCAAACTGTGCTGTGTCATATAATTGGCTAACTCATAACAGACCTGAATACAACTGGACTACCCTCTATAGAACCTCTTAGTTAATATGGCTTGTCCCTTCAACTTGTCAACAAACACTTCTATGAGTCTCAGCGATAGACTCCAAATCATTTAATCCTTTATAAATGAAATAAGGCTCTGAAAGCATCCAGAATATATTCTAGCCTTCTCCAGAAGAATATGGTTTAGATCAGTGGGACAAATAGAATCACTGAATCATAGAAAATCAGGGTTGGAAGGGACCTTGGGAGGTCATCTAGTCCAACCCCCTGCTCAAAGCAGGACCACCCCCACGTAGACCATTCCAGTCATGGCTCTGTCTACATGAGTCTTAAAAACCTTCAAGGATGGAGATTCTACAACCTCTCTGGGTAACCTGTTCTAGTGTTTTACTACCTTCCTACTGAGAAAGTTTTCCCTAATAGCTAACCTAAACTTCCCTTGCTGCAACTTGAGACCATTGCTTCTTGTTCCGACATCTGCCACCACTGAGAACAGTTTAGCTCCATCCTCTTTGGAACCATCCTTCAGGTAATTGAATGTTGCTATTAAATCCCACCTCCATCCTCTCTTCTCCAAACTAAATAAGCCCAGTTCCCTTAGCCTCTCCTCATAAGTCATGTCCCAGCTCCCAAAACAGTTTTGTTGCCCTCCAAGGGACACTGCATACTCTCCAACTTTTTCTACATCTTTTCTGTAGTTGGTGAGGAGCAAAACTGGACACAGTTCTCCAGCTGTGGCCTTACCAGTGCTGAATAGAAGAGAAAAATCACTTCCTTTGATCTGCTGGCAATACTCCTCCTAATGCAACCCAGTATGCCATTAGCCTTCTTCACAACAAGGGCATACTATTGGCTCATATTCAACTTATTGTCCATTGCAACTCCCAGGTCATTTTCAGCAAAACTGCTGCTTTGCCAATTGGTCCCCAGGCTGTAGCAGTGCATGGGATGATTCCATCCTAACTGCAGGACTTTGCACTTTTCCTTATTGAAACTCATAAGATTTCTTTTGGTCCAATCCTCCGATTTGTCAAGGTCTCTCTGAATCCTAGCTCTACTACTCCCCCCAGCTTGGTGTTATCTGTGAACTTGCTGAGGGTGCACTTTATTCCATCTTCTAGCTCATTGGATGAAGATACTGAGCAAAACCAGCCCCAGGACAAATCTCTGGGGCACTCCATTTGACACGAGCTGCCAACTAGATATCGAGCCATTGACTACTACCCTCTGAGCCTGATGATTCAGCCAGTTTTCTATCCAACTTACAGTCCATTCATCCAACCCATACTTCCTTAGCTTGCTTGTGAGAACATTGTGGGAGTCGGTGTCAAAAGCCTTGCTAAAGTCATCAGTTGCATGGGGATTGTCCACGGGCCGGATTGAGCCCTGCGGACATGGCAGCACACCTTCTGCCCCACAGGCTAGGATCAACAGCCAGCGTTACACATTTCTGCCCCCCCATATTGAGCCTTTGGGGCTAATGCTGCCTGCGTGTGCCAGAACTGAGCCCTGGGGCCCATCATCACCCCCACCCAGCCCTTCATGTTAGGATCAGGTACCCAGTTCAGTGCACATGACCAAGGATCCCCATGGGTCTGGAAATCTGGCAGCAGGGGAGTAGTACTACTGGTCCATTATCACCAGGTTTTTGGACCCGTGGGTATCCGTGGAGGCTGGATGACAAGGTGCCATGGGCTAGATCTGGTCCTCAGACTAGAGCTTGAGTATCTATGGTTTAGAGAAAAACAAAGACAAATAAATTATGTTCAGTTTAAGTAAATTAGAGACTTCATTAGGCAAAAATGTTGAATGAGCCTAAAGGTGACTTTATCCTTGTGGAGTATCACAGCAGGATAGCACGTCATAAGTGCTTTACATTCCCAGTTCTTTGGATTGACATCACTATCAGCCATTAAAATGGAAATTTTGATGAACCAATGCAATAAGGAACATGTAACACCAACGGTCCAATAGGTGCTGCCATGCAGAGGCCTATTTTCAACTTTAAATTGTTGTAATAAATAATCTAACTTAACCTGTTAAATAAAATATTCTATATGTCAGCAGAACTTGAAGACAGAAAAACGGAATAACTCCAAACAAGAATGGTCACTGGAACTATCCAATGACTATCTTAAGATAACCTCTGGTAAACATGAGGAACACAAGACCATAAATTACTTGGCCAAAACTGGTGAGTCACAAAGTCTCCCTCTACACGTTACATATATATGTTATTCACTGGTTAACTGTGCAATTAATTTAGACTGGCTACACATGCAAAGTAACTGTCATGCTATAAAAAGATCCATCCAGCTATAAAGTTAGAGCTGGAAAATGTGTAGTAACTTTATACATTCATAGTGTAGAGTTGGAAGGGACCACAATGGATCATTGTGTCCAACCCCCTGTCCCCGGCAGGAAAGAGGACCGAGGTCAGATGATCCCAGCCAGGTGACTATCTAGCCTCCTCTTGAAGACCTCCAAGCTAGGTGATAGCACCACCTCTATTAGAAGCCCATTCCAGATCCTGGCCATCCTTACTGTGAAAAATTTCTTCCTAATATCTAGCCTAAATCCACTCTCAACTAGTTTACACCCATTATTCCTAGTCACTCCCTGGGATGCCTCAATAAACAGCGCTTCCCCTATTCCCCGTTGACCTCCCCTAATAAATTTATAAGCGGCCACGAGATCTCTCCTCAGCCGTCTCTTGTGAAGGCTGAAGAGATTCAGCTCTCTCAACCTTCCCCCCATAGGGTCTATCACGAAGGCCACTAATCATGCAAGTGGTCCTCCCCTGGACCCTCTCGAGATTCCGCACGTCCCTCTTGAAGTGCGACGCCCAAAACTGGACACAGTACTCCAACTGCGGCTTGACCAGTGCCGCATAGAGGGGGAGCATCACCTCCTTTGTTCTATTAGTCATGCACCTGCTAACGCACGACAAGGTGCGATTGGCCTTGTTGATGGCCTTGTTATGCTGCCGGCTCACATTCATCTTGGAGTCGATTATGATTCCAAGATCCCTCTCTGCCTCTGAGCTGCTGAGAAGGACACTCCCCAACCTATAGGTATGCTGAGGGTTCTTCCTTCCCAGAGTACCTTACATTTATCTTTATTAAATTGCATCCTATTTCTCTCTGCCCATTGATCCAACCTGTCCAGGTCAGCCTGAATCTGCTCCCTGCCCTCCGGTGTACTAACTTTGCCCCATAACTTGGTATCATCAGCGAACTTGGAGAGGGTGCTCTCCACACCCTCGTCCAAATCGCTGATGAAGATATTGAATAATATCGGTCCAAGGACCGAACCCTGTGGGACCCTACTGCCCACCTCCATCCAGACCAAGAAGGAACCACCACTCCACAGTCTGCTAGCTGCCCAATGATAGCATGCGAAACTGTGTTGAAGGCCTTCCTAAAGTCCAGGAACATGACATCAGCCTCAGCTCCCTCATTCAGGCAGTGTGTGACCTGGTCATAGAAGGCTACAAGGTTTGTCAGGCAGGATCTACCTGTGACAAACCCATGCTGGTTTCCCCTCAGCATTGTTTCCCCTGCTGGGCCTGCACAAATGTGTTCTTTGATTATTTTCTCTAGCATTTTCCCAGGAATAGAGGTAAGACTGACTGGTCTAAAGTTACCAGCTCATCCCTTCTCCCTTTCTTGAATATGGGCACCACATTGGCCCTTCTCCAGTCCTCAGGGACCTGGCCGGAGCACCACGAGTGCTCGAACAGCTGTGCCAGCGGCTCAGCTATGACACTGGCCAATTCTTTCAGCAGCCGTGGATGGAAGTCATCCGGGCCTGCTGACTTGTACCCATCCAGCTCCTCCAGGAGCTCCTTAACTATTTCAGAACTAACCGTAGGCAGACTGGTGCCATGTAGACATCCGTCAGTGATCGAGATGGGGGAATTGGCTTGGTCGGTACACAGAAATACTGAAGCGAAGAACTCATTGAAGAGCTCTGCTTTTTTCCCCGCGTCAACCTGGTTATAACTGGTTTCTTTTCAGCTTTAATTTACTCATGTAGCAAGGTATGATCATGCAAGGCAGGAGGTATAATTGTGTGGCTCGCATATCAGATTCTATCATGTCTTTACCTAAATGACTAGAGACATACAGATAGACAAAATAAGAGAAGATGGGTTGTTCACTCATTTTTTTAAATTAGTGATTTAACACTGATACCAGAAATACATGGAGACATGAAGGCATAAACTGTATTATTACTTTGGCTACCATTCCCTGCATCTTTGGAATCTGGGATCCACACTGACACTGCTAGACCTTCAACACTCCAATCCTGAAATAATCAGAGAGAGGCAGGAGGGAAGACCTTCCATTATACTGCCATTTCCACCAACTTCAGCAAAGTTCAGCTGACTCATGATCACCACCTGGAACGTGAGGCTTAAATTCCTGTTGTCATTCCCTCCCATCTTTCCAATCCTTATTTCTCTTCTTCCATCTCTCTCTCAACCTTCGTGTTTTAAAAGTGTTTGCTTTAACCAACTATGGTTGCATGCTTTGCAGAGCCACTGACCAGAGAAGTCACCTAAAAGAAATGTTTTAGCCACTCTGATGCTGGTGTTCAGTTTGGTTTCAGTGTGTCTGATAAGATTGTGCCTGTCCTCTTCAAGAAAGAAGGTTACAAGTAAAATTCAGCACTAAAAACAGCTGAGCTTAGTGAGAAAGTTTTGGACAGAGGCAGGTGGTCTAAAGATAGTTAGTCCAGAGACTAGGGGGCCCATAAACCCATCTAAAAGAACATGTTTGAGATGAGCCCTACTTTTGCATCTTCAAATTTTATCAGAGTTATACTCCTTCGGGCAAAACAAGCATCTCATGTGGCTGTCATGAGACAAGTTCAATCACGACTAAGTTGCAACACCATGGAAAAATACTTCTTGAAAAACAAAAGAAAAATTAATTGCATCTAAAATGCCAGTGGACAAACTACATGAACTACAGTAAAATCCTAATCCTATCATGATATATTTACATGAAAAATACTTTGAAGTTCATTAACATTCAGACATTACCAGGGTTCTTTCCTAGAACCACAGAGAATAAAATGGGCAAGTTGGCCTGCCCCTGCCTTTTAAGCTGTGATAAAAGAAATGAGGACACTAAGGAGGCATGTGTGGCCATAATGGACACTGATAACCAAAAGATTCTAATCTTGAGTGACCAGGGTGCATGTGCTCTATAAGTAGAATACAGACTAGCATACAGGGAAGCCCTTAAGATTCTTGTTCTGCATACTAGGAGATGACAGTCTTTCATCAGTTCTGAAGTTTTTAGATCTCTTTCAGTAAATCTTCAGAGGTATTCTGAATTTGGAAGAAGACTCCAAAAGCTTTTGAATGGCAGAAAATAAGCTAATATATTAATTATAAAAGAAAGAAAGGGACAGTTCTTTTTATAGATTTCGTAGACATTAGGGCTGGAACAGACCTTGGAAGATCATCGAGTCCAGCGCCCTGCCCCAGGGGCAGGAAGTCAGCTGGGGTCAAAGGAACCCAGCAAGATAAACATCCAAATGTCTCTTAAAGGAGTCCAGAGTAGGTGCTTGCACCACCTCTGGCAGCAGTCTATTTCAGGCCTCGGGGACTCGGACAGTAAAGAAATTCTTCCTTATGTCCAGCCTGAAATAGTCTTGGAGGAGTTTGTGACCGTTGGACCTTGTCATCCCTTGGGGCACTCTGGTGAACAGGTGTTCCCCCAGATCCTGGTGAGTACCCCTTACATACTTATAAGAAGCCACTAGGTCCCCCCCAAGCCTGTGCTTTTCCAGGCTGAAGAGTCCTATAGCTCTCAGCCTCTCATCATAAGGCCTGTTTTCCTGCCCTCTGACCATGTGCGTGGCTCACCTCTGGACTCTCTCAAGCTTCTCCCCATCCTTTTAAAATTGTGGAGCCCAGAATTGGATGCAGTACTCCAGCTGTGGCCTCACCAAGGCCGAGTACAATGGGAGGATGACATCCTGGGATTTGCTAGATAAGCATTTTTGGATGCAAGCCAAAGTTTTGCTCACTTTGCCAGCTGCAACATCACATTAGTGGCTCATAGTCATCTTGTGGTCAATTGTGACCCCCAAGTCCCTTTCGGCCATGGTGCTAGCAAGCATAGCACTGCCGAGCCTATAAGCATGCTGCAGGTTTTTCTTCCCAAGGTGGAGTATCTTGCATTTTTCGGTGTTGAAGGCCATTAGGTTTTCATCCACCCACTTTTTTAGCCTGTCAAGGTCAGCCTGGATCACCATCCTGTCCTCAGGTGAGGACGCTTTATCCCAAAGTTTGGTGTCATCGGCGAACTTGGCCAGTCCACTTCTGACACTGATGTCCACATCATTAATGACGACGGTAAAGAATATAGGCTGAAGGACAGAACCTTGGGGGACCCCACTGGTCATGGCGCACCACAATGATTGACTTCCATCAACTACCACTCTCTGGGTCCAACCTCAGAGCCAATTCCCCAGCCTGCAGACTGTGATGTAGCCGAGGCCACAGTTGGCCAGTTTTTCTATGAGATGATCACGGGATACCACATCGAAAGCTTTTTTAAAATCAAGATATATGATGTCAATCCCTTCTCCCATGTCCAGGTGATATGTCACCTGGTCATAGAAGGAGATGAGATTGGTCAGGCAATACCTACTCACAACAAACCCATGCTGGCTGTCCCTCAGGATGTTGCCATCAGCCAGTTTGTCAAGAATGGTCTCTTTGATACTTTTTTCCAAGATCTGCCCCGGGATAGAGGTCAGGCTGATGGGCCTGTAGTTCCCCAGATCTACTTTCCTCCCTTTCTTGAAGATAGGCACCACATTGGCCTTCTTCCAATCTTCGGGCACTTTGCCTGAGTGCCACGAGTTCTCAAAAGATCCGTGCCAGTGGCTGAGCTACGATGCTTGCCAGTTCCTTAAGTACCCTGGGGTGTAAACTGTCTGGGCCGGCTGATTTGAAGGTGTCCAACCTCTCAAGGTGTTCCTTCACATGGTCAACATTGATGAAGGGTGACAATTCTCCCTCGCCCTGGCTGTCCCATACCACATTAAGCAGGGCCGTCCCCTGGGGCTGGTGAAAAACCAATGCAAAATACCCATTAAGCAGGCTGGCTTTTTCCTGGGCGTCAGTTGTCAGTTGTCCCATATGGTTCTTATCCTGTTTTTACTATAAAAGACTATATAAAAAGGAGTAGCTAACTCAAAAAGGACGAAAAAGGAAACACTTTGACAAAATAACATCAGGAGCTTATAATGGGCTCTAAGGACTAAGCTTAGACTCAGTTTTAAGCCACCATCCTAATAAGACAACAGATATTAAGGGAAATGCACTGTATACCCAAAATTTGTCAAACTTCTCTCCCAACTATACAGTATGTCCAGTAACAAGAAACAAACTCACCAAAAATCCTCTCTCTCTCCTGAATAAAAATTAGGCATAAGAGGATAAGATCTAGTAGTCTAGAGGATGAGATCTAGTAGTCCTAAAAATTTTGCAGATATAATCTTGACTACAAACAATCAGTTAACCAACTACAGATAGCATCTCCTTCATTAAATAAATCAGTGTTAAATGCAAAACATGTTTTGATTTAAAAACATATGCATACAACACATGTAGGGTAGTTTTATTTAGTTGTTAAGAATCAACTTTATAATGATGGCTTTGTGCATTTTAATTGAATTCCAATTTCAAAACAAAGCGAACAGGACAGCAATCACTAATAAAGATTTTAAAACTTGCCTTAATAAAATAAGTGCTTTATTATTTTAACAATAAAAATATAAAAATTAGGAATCCAATTAATTGCACTTTAAGCTATAAAATATCCCAGAGATATTCAACTATGCTAGACAGACTCTGACCAGAAATGGTGCCTCTCATAACCACAGACCAACTAGAATATGGGATGCAAAGTGGAAAAAACATTGGGAACCAATGATCTAGGTCCCATTATCATAATGATATGGAAGAAAAAAGTTTAAAATAGAGTAAACTGCTAGAAGAAAGCTCACAGAAACTTACTGAAAATGGCAATCTGGAGAGAATTTTAGAATCTCTTATTTTATATGTTTTTGTTTTTCAAATTGCCAAACTATGCTTGTGAATTCTTTTGAGTTTTCGTGTTTTGGTTTATGGTTTGTTTTTTTGGAAGGGGGGGGGGGGGGGGG